GGTCTCCAAAAATATAGACAATGTGTTATTTTGACGTGCAATTTCAGTTTTGTGTAATGTGATCATCGTGGATTATTATGTGTAAAATTGCAAAAATATCATTCATTCATGTATGACGGCGATTTAAACCCAATTCACTTCAATAAAGATAACTATACATGCTACTCTTGTCATGAGCATCAAGGTGTGGGGGCGCTGCGGTGCAAATTCCACTGATGTTTAGTAAATGTTAACTCAGATTCGTAGAAAAAATATAAACGTTGGACTCGGTGGTCGATTCTGAGTTAAGGTAAGGCATGTTATTCGCAATTAAGTGTTGTGGCTGGGTTGTTATAGGTCTGCGTGACTCTTGATGTCTTAGGCCTAATTGAACAGAGGAATTGTGGTATTCTTCTGTAGCCTGATGATGAGTAAACCGTTGTTCATGTGAACTCAAAGACAGCCTGATGCTTTGTTTATAGACTATTTGTGGGTGGCTGTTTGTTGTTTCACCTATCAATTCATGTCGATAAAGTATAATAGGGTCAATCCTGTATAGTGATTTATCCTATATAGTGCTTGCATAAAACAAGTAGTGCATACACTTGTAGCTATTATGTATCTTTGTAAGTCATTGTAAGCCCTAGCGCACGACCCCCGTAATAGAAAAAGAACAAGTGGGCTCCCCCAAAGTCCACGGTGTAGTTCGAACACTGCCGGTACATGTCATTTAAACAACGTTCGGAACGCGACACTGTTTGAAAGAGGTGTTGCACTGTGCTGAGGGAACAGCTGTATGTGTTACTAAGCGTGAATCACATGCACTTTTTTTGGAAAATATGGTTAACACCCGGTCATGCATGAAAAAAAAATACCGTCTTGTACTGTGAAACCGGTATAATTTTGAAAAATACTGTGATATCAGATGCTGTATAAATCATACCGCCCAGCACTAGTGTATACAGTATGATGATGCTAGTTTTCTCAAATGAAACTGTAAAATTCTCGCGAAGTGACTCTCACAGCAGCTCTGGAGATTAAGTTTATGTGTTCATGCCGTCATATAGTGAGACGCAGAAGCCGAAAATCACCGCAAGCGTCACGCGTGCTTCAGTAATTGTGTAGTAAACAAAACCGCGTTTCCGCCATTCATACATACAGAGGCAAGCGGAACATGCAGGATTCATATTTAAACCGTCTTTTTGCATTTTAATATTCACAGACACTAGTTCATATCGCGATTCGAATTAAGTGCCACTGGCTACTTTTGATTTATTCGTCCGAAATTGACGAATTCCGTGGCATTCCGTGCTATAGAGTAAATTACGTTTTTATGAATGACTCCACGATCCCGTCCACGTTTTCGCAGAAACCATATGGCCCTAGAAATGTAACCACACTTCAGAACATTTCGGCTTGCCCTGTGTATTGTTTGAACGAGTTGCAGGGGTGACATCACGTCACAGGGTCTCTCTTTCGCTGTCTGTAGCGTATGCACCCAGATGCGTTCTCAGGTACCGAAATTTGGCACCGATTGATTTAATGTGAATCGGTACTCGCCTTTGTCTCCGTTTATTTTGAATATGCGCCCTCTAACGGCAAAAATGACATATTGTGCCTTTAAGGAGGAAGAAACACCAATTATATTCAGAGGCCCAAACATGTAATTTGGTGCCGATGCTGATAAAAATCGTGATAGCTCGTAATGTAAAACAATAAGATCTTCACAACATAAATTGCACATAAATATCAGTTGTCACTTTATAGTTCCCAATAATATGTCGAAGTAAGATGCGTTTAAATGTTTAGTTTTATTAATCAAAGCTATGTAGTTTTCGTGGAGGGCAAAAAATATAATGCAATGCTGCCAATGCAATACAATGATGTCTGAGATAAATAAACGTTCCTCAAAAGCCTGATCTATCATGTATGATATATTTTTACATTCATTTTCCTAAAAATAAAATGAAATACAGATAATCAAGTTGCTTCAGTCCAGTAAATGCTCATCTTAAAGAACCCTGTTGTGAGATTACGAAAGGAAGCTTCGAAACAGCAAATAACAGAACCAAAATCGCGTGAACTCGTCGATATTGGACACACATGAGGAAAAATAGCTGCGCTTATGGACTCACCCCAAAACCACCAGTTCGCCGTACTTTACTGGCTCTTTGGTGGGCGCACAGTGCTCCTCTTGACCCGGTGAAAACATGAGGCTTTTCAAACGACACACTCTCAATTACACGATCAATCCAGCGACGAAAAGGGAAAAGACTTCAAAGGACGCTCCTAACTGCCATATTTCCCATTTACCTGCTCCCGAGTACTTTTCAGAAATGAATAAAAGTCAGTGAAATCCTACATCCGAGAGAGATTTAAGAAATAATGAGGATAATAATAATAAATCCTTATGTCTCGGGCATATTTCATCATAGGAACAGTGAGTAACTTAGTGCTTCCATCCGCTGTGAGAAAAACAGTACTAGTAGGGGGTGGACCGTACCATTCACTTAGAACGACTTTACGCGGGGAAGCACGCGAAGAAACTTTGCAAATATTATAGTGAATATCCTCGTAGGATTATCACTGGTTGCTGTTTACTTGGAAACTTTTGAAGACTGTGTTGCCTCTGCACAACCTGTAATGGACAGTTATATCCCGTGATATTTCAACTTTTAAGCTAAAAAAAAAGCGCACCCCCTCTAACGGCACAATCCAACACAACGGCGGTCTGAGGCGGCACCTTCAATTACGTAAACAAAAGCAGAAACTTAGATATATTTCAAGTAATACACTTGGTTTTTCGATTTGGGTACACTTTACGTAAATAATAATAATAGTTTGAAAAAAAAACATTTTTTATTTCTTTGTAAGTGTCACTCATATAGTATACTTATACAGTAGCCCGCGTATCAGTAACGTTAATCATCAATAGGCTAAATGTGTTTGCGTTTCCACTGATTTAAAGCAGCACACCAGCACCTCTACATTTTAGTGAAGGCTACTATACAGGCACGCTCACCCAAAATAAAAGGTCTGTCATCATTTACTCACCTTCACGTTAAAGGTAAGCTATATAACTTGTTCTTTTTTTCTGCAGAACACAAAAGAAGATAGTTCGCAGAACATTGTGATCCTAACAACATTAGACCTCTTTGACTTTCATTGTACGTCTTAATCGATCACTTTTAATTGCAGCTATCATTTTTGTAATATTCTGAATGGGATTTGCCTTTACAAATACATGATTTTGACTTTCAAAAAGCCCACGTGCAGCCACAGCATATGTAAATTAGGCAATAGGGTCTGAGAATATAAGCTGCTCTGCTGTAAATCAGCACTGTGTTAAATGCCTTCAGTTGCATCACAGACATCATGCTGTTAACAGCTCAGTCCACATGATTGAGCCATTTGCTAGGAGTTTGCTTTTCATCCATACATGCCTTCACAGAAGCACTGAGATTCTGTTTTAAGTTTGATGGCTTGATAATTAGGATTATAGATTTCTCACATCTGTATTTGAAACATTTTGAGACACTAAAAGTGTATATATTTCTGCTAAAAGCAAGACACCACAGGTGAATAGTAAATGTTTTAACTAATAGATATTATCATACTTCCCCACTTGATTAATCATGTGGTACAATAAGACAACTCTTTTGTATTACAAGTTTTCTGAAATGCTGTTTAAATATGCAAATGTGGCATTATGTCATTAAATGTGCATACATTTTCAGAACATTAATCTAAAAAATGTATAACTGGTTCAATTTATTTATTTAGACATATTGGAGTTAGTTTTTACATAGGCGTTTTTGGATATCCCTTTTTATCAGAAAGAGCAGATCTTTTTTTATCAGATCCTTTTTATTGGATATCTGCATAAATCTCAAAATACTGTCAACAGCCATAAAATATTCCAAATATATATATGTTATATAAATCAGGTAAATTATATACACTTGAAACCATTTTTTTGGGGTTCCCCAAATAACTAGTCAGTGAACAGTATTTATGTTGTTCTTTTTTTAAGAGCGTTTTAATCATGACTCATAAAATTCATGAATGATGAAGGTTCAGGTTTATTTGTAAGAGTGTATTGTGGCAGTAAGTGGTCAGAAGTTTGGGATATTACCAATAATAAGAGAAATCCTATAGTCGACTACGCCACCCAGAATACACCGGGACATAACAGCCCTAAACAAAGGGACACAGGTTCATTGCCAAAGGCAGGGTGAGCATAATAATAATAATAATGGGTATAAACAAAAGTCACTTTATTAACATACACTTGATAAAAACACATACAACACGTCACACCAGGTCTCAATACATCACACGTCTTTACCAGTAACTTATAAAACAAGTACCATACAATGAGAAAATAAAGGGGGAGGTGGCCAACAAAGAACCTCAGATTTCTACCCCACACTCAATACCCATGACACACACTCGTGAAAAATCAGTAATATTAAACACAGCACTCCATGTGGACACGCAGTACAAGGTACCATGGCCAACCCCTCCCACCTAAATCCACACCAAACAATACAAAATATAACAGACGGACCCAGATGAATTCCAGACAGAACAAAACAGAGTAAAGTAGAGTAGAGCAGAAGTGCAGTCAGTTACGTGAGGTTCATTAGGCTTCAATTAAGATCATTAGAAACCCCTGGACGTGCAATCAATCCTGCTGGACATTAAACAAAAGTTATGCATAAAAACTTGCTTAAAACTAGACATACCTACCAAGAAAACAGTACAATGCTGCAATACACATGGTCGCTCACCACGCAGGATTACAGCTACTGGCAGGCCCATATCTAGAAACAAACAAGGTAATAAGCCTCTATTTAACAGGCAAAAAGGCATTTTTAAAACCGGGACAAACCTGAAAACTGGCCAACAGCCAGCACACGACAGACAGGAGGATAACCCAACTGCTGGCACTCATTCAAAGCGCCACATGTCACAAAGGGGCGGTACCAAGGATGATGCATCCCAAGCAACCAAACACTCCCCCTTTTATAGGCACACAGGCACTAATTGGCTCATGAAACTTACCAAACCATGATAAAGTATGAACACTGATAGGTTCACCTGTTTGGGTAACGCCAGCCAATTATACTGGGTCTATAGCTCACTCTGCTACAGTATGAACAAGCCCCTCTGTTAAAATCTTCATAATATGGGAATAAAACTGTAAAGTGCTATGTGCTACTGAAGTGGAGATTTCTGAAAAAATATTTTTGAAAAAATGTAATTTCAGAGTCAATCTCTAAAGTATGTGTTATGTTGAATTGATAAAGTGTAATATAATAAACACTTGTGTGTATGAATTTTTTTCCCCACTTGTCTGAACGAAGACGTGTTATGGAAGTAAAATAACCTAAAATCTAAAAAGCAAAAATTGTCCAAGATTTGTTCACTGAAAAGGAAAATTCTGTCACCATTTACTTTCTTTCTTGCATGGAACAGCAAATCAGATGTGAGGGAGTAAATGATGACAGAATGTTAATTTGTGGGGAAACTGTTTTTAATATCAATTTGAAAATGGCTCTCTTGCCATTCGTTCTTCTTTTGACAAATTGGAGTGTATGTTCTCATTTGAGTGTTTGTTGTCAGTTCACTTTCTCTAAATAATTGCATGCTAAAATAGTGTTGTCATTGATCACAGGTAGTGAGGCCTCCTAGTGTACTTTTGGCCAAACCTCCCGATCAGCTGTTAAACTCCTCTACTCCTCATGTACTTTGACGGCTGTTCAGTCCTTCACACGTTCCTGCTGAATGTGTTACCTCCACACTTTTGTGAAGTCTTGTAATTAGTCCATGCTGTCACCACAGTCCATCCAGAGCAGTTAGGTTTTTTTGGTGGGTGTTTTACCTAAAATAAATAAATAAATAATTAATAAATAAACAGAGCTCCAGAGCTTTGTTCAGTCATAATTACCTTAACCCACCATGCTTTGTCAATCGAGATTTATACAGCATCTGAAAGCTGAATAAATAAGCTTTCCATTTGTTAGGATAGGATAGCCGAGATACAACTATTTGAAAATCTGTAATCTGAGTGTGCAAAAAAAACAGAATGTGCAGAAAATTGCCTTTAAAGTTGTCCAAATGAAGTCCTTAGCAATGCGTATTACTAATCAAAAATTAAGTTTTTATATATTTATGGTAGGAAACTTACAAAATATCTTCATGGAACATGATCTTTACTTAATGTCCTAATGATTTTTGGCATAAAAGAAAATTTTATCATTTTGACCCATACAGTGTTTTTTTTTGGCTATTGCTACAAATATACCCCAGCGACTTAAGACTGGTTTTGTGCTCCAGGGTCACATATATGGAGGACGAAACCTGCAAAAACAATAAATAAATAAATACGCAAATAAATAAATAAATAAATGTGTGCATAAATACACGTATTCTTTTTTAAATACATAAATAATTAAACATGTGATGAAAGTAGGCAAATAAATACAATAAATTGGTGGGCAAATGGAAAATGTTTAAGGAACTGCTAAACTCATCCTAACTATTTTCCTTTGATCAAACGTTTATTTCTGAATGTAGTTCCACTTTTTTTTCCCCTCTGCGCGACATGCTAATGAGAGGGTGTTCAATTATGCAAGTGTAGGCAGATCGTGTGTGACGCGCTTGAGCGTTTGACTGCGCATGCCTATTAACTTCATCAGTCAAGGTGACTGATTATTATCTTACACTTTTTCATAGGGTTAGTTTTGTAGTTATAATCATGAGAGAGCTAAATCATAAAAGATTTGAAGTGGCCAATGTAAAATATTAATGCTTACATAGCTCTTAATTGCAATACTGAACCGTTATTAGCTTAATAAACATACTTTTGTCGCCTGTATTTTCTGTTCTGATAACTAATTGGAAAAAAACTGTCTGTTCCTCGATTAAACCACTTCATACCAGTTCTCAAGGATGTATATGAGCCTCTGTTTGTACAATAATAAATTGAGAATCAACTGAGATGTACCCTTGTGTATGTCACTAATTTAGTTCTCCCGCCGTAAAGAGAGAGAGATTGCTGCAGATCGACTTGGTTGTAGAAGACTGTTTACTGACCATAAAAATGATCTTACACGTATCTAAACAATGAGCCATCAAAAGAACGAGCCCTTATTCCACGAATAAAGTGAATAATCTCACGATGACCATGGGATACTGATATTACAGTTGTCTCTAGCTGGAGACTCAATCGGGTTACAAAAAATGACGTCAGGAAACGACACTGGCCATTTCTTTGGGTCGTTTGTAAAGTCACAGATACTGTACGGACAATACAGCTCAGTTTTTTATGTATCTTGCTCTGTTGAATGGAAAAAGTGACTTTACGTAGGCCATACTGGATTAACACCATGCATTTCCCGTCAGAGGGAAAGCATTGTTTCCCCCATGCCGCGCCCCCAGCTATCACATGACCCCGACCAAGTCCATGGTTGACACCCTCTCATTAGCATGTCGCGCAGAGGAAAAATAAATGTGGAACTACATTCAGAAATAAATGAGTGATCAAAGGAAAATAGTTAGGATGAGTTTAGCATTTCCTTAAACATTTTCCATTTGCCCACCAATTTATTTTATTTATTTGCCTACTTTAATCACGTTCAATTATTTGTATATGTATTTAAACAAGACTTTGTGTATTTATACATGCATTTATTTATTTATTTGCATATTTATTTATTTATTTGTGTATTTATTTATTTATTGTTTTTGCAGGTTTCGTCCTCCATACATATGGGTAAATTTCACAAAAATCTGTCAAAAAAGAAAAAAAGAAATGGAAAAATTGAATTATATTTTGTTTAAAGAATATGAAGCCTACATATATTATTTAAACACACACACACACACACACACTTTGACATTATTTGTTGTACTGCCATAATGCTGATAGGAATGTGACTGGGAATAGGAATAACAAAAAAGAAAAATTTTAAAAAAATAAAGATTTTGGAATATCCAGATGCTTAACAGTAATGCAGTTGTATATGGGGACAAGGTGCTTAATTGTCATGAAATAATGTCACAGAAGCAAAACATAGGCTAGAAATAGGCTTCATTTTGATTTGACATAGCTTATTTATTTATTTAATCGCCTTGCAATTGTGAGGTTCTGAGCAGTTTTGAAATATTAAGCTTCAAAGTTTTTGTGTTCCATAGATTCCAGTAGATAGAACCCTTTTTGTTTTCTCTAAAAAATGCCCAAAATGTACACAGCTTACAGAAGAAACATCAAATAATGTAAATAAGTGGTCACAGAATAACAATATATGAATAACAGATAGAACCTTATAATTCCAAAGTTGATTTATTTATTTACTTACTTTAATTGGACATGTTTTGAAATGTAATTTGGACACGAATTTCACCCCATACAGATTTTCTAAAATGCCACTGTCAAATTTATTTATATAGCAATATTTAAAACAACATGAGTTGACTGAAGTACAACAATGAATAAAGTGCCATAAAATAACAAAAAATTGACGATAAAGTAAAATGAAAATAAAACAGAAGAAATAGTATACACTAAAATCATAAACAAATTTAAGAATGTCTCTATGACTTGTTCAGACGTTTGCGGTCAGTAAGACTTTTTAATGTTTTTGAAAGAAATAGCTTCTGCTCAATAAAGCCAAAATGTATTTGATCGTTTGAACAGTGGTGTATATTAAAAAATTTCACTTCTGCTTACCTCCCACTAATAAACAAACTAATAAACCAGATGTATGCCCATCTTTATACAGAGGCTCTTTTTAAAAACACATTCATTTTGAGAGAATTTTATCTATAGAACATCCCAGATCTTGTAATTAATTACTGCAACATTAATCTGTTTTTAAACAGTTAGTTGCACGGTAGGTGCGTCCAAAAATCTGCTTCTATTGTTCTTACATTATGCCACTTCTGAGTAAACAAACACAAGATTTTGTTTTGCTTAGTATGTTGATGAATAACAATGCCGTGTCAATGACTTAAATATTTCTCAATTTCACCAACATGCTGACAGCATCCAATGAGCACATGTGTGTTTGCGTATGGGAAGAGTTTTTTTATGAATTAGTCAACCCTCTCCCACCCTCCACGTGCCTGGATGAAGGATCAAAGACTCGGTCGCTCATTCCATCTTGATGAATAGCAGATGCAAAGAGATGCTGTTCCTGAAACGCATGTGTCTGGTTTAGATCTTTGTACTATGAGAATATAACTGCATGAACAAAAGAGAAATTAGTAGGCATGACGCATGAGAGAATGATTGCGCAACTTAGACAAGAGTCAAAATCTGGACTGAATCATGATTTTGTTTTCTTTCATAATGCATAAACACTACTCAGGATCAGTGTTGGGGAAAGTTACTTTTAAAAGTAATGCATTACAATATTGCGTTACTCCATAAAAAAAATAACTAATTACGGTACTTAGTTACTTTTTATGGAAAGTAATGCGTTACGTTACTTTTGCGTTTCTTTTTAAATCTGGACAGGGCTTGCTTGTTTGTTTTTAAAATAAAAAAGTTATATTTTTGGCAAATATAAAAGCCTTTTCACACCAAAAGTGAAATGAATAAGCTTCAGGCTGAAGGGAAAGTAAATTTTCGTCCGTACAGTAGAATGCAGAAGAAATTTCAACACACTTCAGCAATAAAAAAGACACACAAATGTTGTCTAGAGTAATTTGTGCTTATTAGTACGGTTGAACTGGATCATCGAAGGTCAGAAGCAAAGATGTTTGTTAATAGAATGGGATTAAATACATAAAGAATATTTGTGTTGTTTAACATTTAATTATTGCAGGTTCGCGTCATATTCTGAGTTGCATTATTTTTATTAATTTTGAGGAATACTGAATCTGTGTTTTTTTGTGTGCGTGAGATGAATTAATGCATATTCATATTTATTTTAGAACTACAGTAACATCTGATTTCTCTCAACATGGGGACAGGAGAGCTGTCAATCAATAAATTGGAAAAAAAAAGTAACTTGCGTCACTTATTTG